TAAGATATTAAAGATACTAGATTGCAGGACATAACCTGATAAACATGAAGTAAGGATACTCTTAAAAAAAAAACTATGTAGGGCTTTGAATGGGTTTTTCCCGATAAAACCCGATTAAACCGCCCAAGTAGTAGGTAGTTGATAAATTATATCACCGTCATCGAGTGTTTTCCATATGTCTTTTGGTATTTTTTATAACGGAAAACCCCTAAATACCTTTGGGTAGGTTGGGTTTTTTTTCAAACTTGCTATAGTTGCCCACGACCAAGACTATATTATAATATTTATGGCGCACTCCGGACCCGTTCGATTGCACCGTGTGAGAACTAAATGCAATTATCATCATTGTTGCGTTGTTTGATTATTATTATTTCAACCAATGTCGGTCATACGCGCCACAAATGGATAAGAATTACTTGGCTTTTTTAATAGCAGCGATCACGGCGACCGGAGCGTGTGACGACGTTTGGCGTCGGACGACGATGGTAATATAATTATGACAAAACGAGAAATATTATCATTTTTAACCACGGCTTATGACGGCCGACCAGGTAAGATGTGAGTATAATATGAGAAAAATAATTCTACACACATTTGTATTCGTCGCCGCGGCTTTGTATAGCTGTTCGTATCGCCACACACAAACGCTGACGGTTGAGACACGCATTCAATCACGGGGCTTAGGGCCATGACGATGATGTGCAGCTGTTGTCGTCGGTGTTCTGGGCAAAAGATGGCATTTCAAGTCGACACACGAGGTAAGTAAGTAAGTTAGTAAACGGCAGGACATAAGAATAAAAAAAAACACACAAACGTGTCACCGCACAATGTGCATTAAGAATTATTATTATTATTATTATTATTATACGAAAATACCTCAACATTTCTGCGCTATTGTTTTTGTACCGAATTAATATCTACGTGTATTTATTTAGTTAAATATGTACTTATTTAGTTAATTGAGACACTCGTTAGAACAAGGGCCCAATTCGGTATGTTAATATAATATTGTGCATGGTATTGAATACAAAATATTACATTTATAAGCTTTCAATTTTAAAAGTTTTGATTGGAACAAAGACCCAATTTTATAACTCTTAAAAAAAATCTGCTAAATTAAAATCAAAAATTAATTATAAAGTTTTTAATAACGAAAAACGTACATAGAAAAATAGTTTTTTATGTCTACTGAAAAAAAAACAAAATTACTTTTATGCAATTTAACAAAATATTATTGAAAAAAAAATGTTTTTTTCATAATTCAATTGTACAACATTTTATCATAATAAAAGTGATTCACTTATATTTAATGTAAGTATACATAAAAAACTACACCCACTATAATAGGAAACTTGTTATTGGAACAAAACTAAAAACTTCTAGTCCGGCAATTGCTTTAAGTGCACAAAACAGGACTTTTTTTTTTGAATTATCAAATCATTGGCTTGTAACGTTCAACAGTTTAACCGTGTGAGAAAAATCGCTCTGTTTTTCGTTTTCTTAAAATAATAATACATATCCTAAACCAATTTTGTTGATGAAACTCTAAATGCTAATCCAAAATATTGATGTAACGTTGCCCAACGTTTAAGCTAAATCAAATATTATAGGCTTTATTATTATTATTATCATAAACGTAAAATGAATATAATTATATTGGAGAAATGTATACTAACGTTTTCGTTTTGTTTTCAGCTAAAATAAAAATAATAATAAGTAAATGGATTGGTTTTCCTGTAAACAGTATAATATTATTTAATAGCATTATTCTGCTGTCAGATAAAAGTTACAACAAGTGAGAAAAAAAAATAAATCAGTTATATTCCAAAATAAATACATTTTAAGCTTACCCGAATGATGTGGTACGAATTGTGGTTGAAAAAAATGGAGTATAAAAATAACGAGACACACTAATGTTGTACGGTTTGGTTTTGTTTGTACAGAAGTATTTAAATTAAAAATCAAGAAAACTAAATTAATAATTAACATAAACATTTATTAACGTACACAGTGAAGGGACTACTCAAATGCTGTTGGTATTCATTAACTTACATAACTGAAAACAAAAAAATATTTATGAAATACTCTGATTGTTTAAAACAATAAAAAATATGTTAAGTTCGTTGTAAATTAAAACGAAATTTATTTCAAATTCTAACATTAAGGTATTAAGATCACAACTCATAACTTAAATAGATATCCTGGGGTAATGAAGAGGTTGATTATTTCAGGGGGCAAAAGAAAGACAATATTTAACATAAATTCATTACAAAAATCTCATGATTGTATAACCAATAACAGCTCAATCTGGGAAGGTTTGTCGGATCCGCATCGAGGCCAAAATATAATACATTTTTTTTTGTTTAGTGTTCAAAACATTAATAGTGTTAAATGGAAAAACACCATCAATATTTATGATTGTTTTTTTCCACAAACTTGGGGTTTTATTCTTAGAATATGTCTCCTGTTTGCAGTAAAAACAGTAAACAATCCCCACTGGCCCTTTTAACAATAATAACAATGTAAATTGAAAAACGATTTCACACTTATTGTTCATAATATATCGACACAAATTTTACTGATTTTTAAAAGTTATTCACATTTCAGAATTCTTTTACACTATCCAAAATGAAGTGTTCTGTTGTAACAACGTGCTTGACCAAGTTTTATAGCTTTCATGCGGAGAAAGTAATAATTTTATAATTTAATTTATTTTTTTTCCACTGGAACGATTTTTTTAAATTAATATATTTATTATAGATTATAAACACCGTTTTTTATTCGTACTTAGGAAGGAAGGCGTAAGGGTTGAAAAAATCACTCCTTCACCCTTGAAATCCTACAAAAATCTTTTACATACAACTTGGACTCGCAATAACGGCAACCGGAATGGGCTGAGTCAGCTGATTGTGTTGGGCCAAAGGTTGTTCATTCATTACTTATCTGCTTACAACTTCTACACTTGACCATAAGTACGAAAAAATCTTAATTATGGTGTATACATATTTTGTTAATACAAGCGACGAAGAACTATTAGCCTAAAAGCTACAAAGCAACATTAATAATAGATCTAATAGCATATATTAATAGGTACATATATTATTTTGTTAAATGTATTCAACATTTACAAACAAATTAGGAAGGTTTAAAAATTAGCCAGTTTTTTTCACCTGAGGTCTGGTCTTCCAAAATCGTTTCCCCTACTCGACTTTACCCTCCCCTACTCGTTCACTATTTGTGTGTGTGTACGTACAACACAGAATGCCGTGGTTTTATATAAATATTATTTTTTTGGCATCTTTATTGTTATTTTTATATCGGTACGGAAATCTCAAGGGTTGAAGTTTAACGAAGCCATTCGGTCGTCTCTGGGGTATCGTTTAGACCTCTGTATCTTAAGGCTCGGACATGGCCATAACAACGCCCTCTCGAGAATTCAAAAAAAAAAAAACAATAATAATATTAATAAAAACAGCGGGTAACCGGGTAGCTTTAAAAGTTCGTCCAAAAGTATACCCTTCGACTATACACAGTGGCTTAAGAGCCAGATGATCGAAAGCAATACCTCTTTGAATGTGTTTATGATATTTTAAAAAGTATAAAAACAGACCACGGCGTGGACTAGGATCCAAACGGCTCTATGTAAGTTTTTATTAATGTAAAATTCACTTTTATTTAGGCTATGAATGTTTATGTACAGATTGTGAATGTTTTTTTTTTTAATAAAATGTACAGGTCGATCAACTTATCGTGAACCACTCAATATCTCACTGGGTATCATAAGAAATTACATTTTTTTTTACACTAAGTAGGGAGGGAGGTAAAAGCAAAAAAAATTGTGAGAAATTGAGATCACATTGTATAAAAAAATTATGGAAAAAAAATGAAATTGTTAATCAAACCCAGTAAGATATTTAGTGGTTTACCATAAGTTGATCACCCTGTATATATCTATCCGTGATTCTGCGTTATCAACTTAACTTATAAATGTTATAAATATATTTTCATGTGATAAAGTTCTAATTCCCATAAATATGGCGGAAAATGGCGGTAACTTCAATTATCTCTATTGGCGACATGTACACTTGGCAACCTAGTTTATTATATTATATATATGTGGCTCATAATGGCTACTGATAAGAGGCAATTATTGATAAAAGATCAGTTAGGGTTAGGTTAAATTTGGATTAAATAAGTGAGATTAGGTTGAGTTTAGGTTAGGATGAAAATAAAGACTATTGGCGATATATATATATCTTTTACTTATTTATTTTTAAATTCCTGATAATTTAATGTAAATAAAAAAAATTGTATACTATAAATTAAAAAATTGGGCATTGAAGATTGCTTACTGCTTATAAAACCCATTAAAAACCGCCCGCTTTCGATGACATTATTCTACAACACCCATGTTAGGTTAGGTTGGGTAAGGTTAGGATAGGTTAGGTTAGCGGGTATGTTCTTAAAAATACGTTTATTAAAACATATATGTATTGATATGTAGGTAAAAATGGGTAAATTTTAGTACTACTCTCTTAAATCAAAAAACATGTAAATATCTGATATTTTTACAGTTTCCAGTTTTAAACAGTCAAAATTCATTAACTGAACCTTATATGGCATTAAAAAAAAAAAAACGTCTTTTGTTTATATCATAATGACGTGTAATTCTGACATTCTGTTAAATCTTATATCATTACAAATTTTTCGTTTTTTTTTTTTATGCTGTACTATTTGCTTGTTTGGCGTTATATTGAATAAATAAATAAATAATTCATAATATTGTTTCGGTGTTTTTGACATTTTTTTTTCTTTTAATAATGGGACTTCCGAGCGACTATAGAACTCATTTTCGGACCACCGTGCGCCGGCACCGCGGCTGCTGGGCCCTGCGCTCGCGTCGGCTGCGGTCGGTAGCGGTCGGGTCCGATCGCCGTTTCGGTGCGGCGTGCCGGCAGATCACGTGTGCCCTACGCCGAACGTGCCGCAGAGGTAGCTTGCTCATCGGTCCGAGTGAGTGGATTTCGCGTTGCCGGTTTGGTTGTTGTCTATTTATTCAATTTTTTATTTGCCAGTTTTACACGCGATATTCATATTTTTATTCATTAGTATTATTGTACAACAACGGAGTCGATCGTTTCCACATATCTATAATTTTTTATTTCATTCGCCTTTGTCCTATTCCATGTATTAAAATCGTTACCGGAATAAAGGACAATATATTCGTTCGTCGGCGCCAAAAAAAAAAACGGCCATCACGGTAAGATTGATATAAAAAAAAAAAATAAAAAAATATTACATATTTTGTATAAAAAGTCAGCAAACAAAACAGCTCTGTTTTTCACACGAAAATTAAATCCGAGAAAAAAAAATTGTCCACATTTTAACTGCGTTAAGCCCCTTTTCAAAACTATACTTAGTTTTCAAACTTAACCGGTGAGAACGGTCATAAATGGTGATACACATATTATACTTCTTATAAGTTACACCACATGTTTTGTTACTTCAGATTAACATAACAATATGAAGTTTATCAAACGATTCGTTTAAAGATTAAGTATACAAATTTAGTACTTTACTTTGTGTGCAAACAATTCTGAAATTAATATTCGTGAAATACTCTTTTAAAAATATCACAAAATTCCTAATCGGAGAAGATTTTTTTAAATAAATACAAAAAGGATTTATACAATTTAATGGAATTTATAAATATGTAAAATATTGTTATCGAAGTTCAATAACATAATATAAAAATGTTGAAGTGTTCAATTAAACTTTATTATTTTTACTTCACAACAACTTTTGAGTTTGTGTACAATTCGTTATTTTGACCATATTCTACAATAATTATTTTCTGAAACATATTTTTAATTTATTTTATAGCACATCCCTTTAAATAAAAAAAGTAATTACACGAACGAGCAATGTATAGATTTTATTGGATTCATATAATTAAAAAAAGAAGAAAATATTTCAAAGAGAGAAAAATTGCCATACCTACTTATGTCGTTTGCAGCAACCGTACTTACATTATTGTAAGGACAGTTCAACAATATTGAAACTGTACTTACATTTCAAGTATAGTTGGCGCAAACGGTCGTTTAAACTCTAAATTGTGCAATTAAAAACGTTTACTTTAAATTAAACATGTTTGCTGGACTCAAATTGTTGTTTGTTAATAGGTAGCAAAATATTTGGCTTTTATTTTTTCAAAAATTTCAAATGCTAAAATTTTTTATCTTTTAAAAAAAACTTCCTTGTGTTGTGTACCTATTAAAAACGACAATATATTTTATTTAATCAGTAAATATTTAACATAAACAAACGAATATTGCCAGTAATTTTAAGGTCAATAAATTGACAAGCCCGGTGCATATTTTTCTGGGCGAGATAATAAAAATTGCAAAATGATGTAAGAAAAAAAATCAATTTTTATGACAATATATTATATTGTTACATACTGCCAATTTTAATTATTAAAAAAAAAACAATTATTTTATGAGCTCTTGCTTTATGAAACGTTAGACATAAGATTATATTAAAAAGTATTGCCTATATTTGACCCCTTAAAAGGTAAACGTCTCTGTACACATAATAATATGAGGTATAATTTATTGAGACCGTTGGTGCACGTTTGGATGTATTTAAACGGTTAATTTAATCCTTCAACGCTTAATGGTGTATTTATATGTATTTTCTTTTTTTTTGATAATTAACCGAATATTTTTAAATCGCTAGTTAAATGTCGTAGTAAGGATTGTATGTAAAAAAAAATACAAAAGGTATATAATATATATATTTTAGTAAAAACTTTAAATAAATGTACAGCGTTGCCACTTAAGTGCACCGGTCATATTATCAGCAACAATTATATTGCATTGAAGGGTTAATGTTGTGGCACGTGGCGGTCTTTGAAGACATTTTTTGCTGATAAAGTTAGCGAAAAAATTAATACCAAAAATAAATAGTACAAAGTGTGTGTATATTATTTGTATATCGTCCAGTAAGAAACGCCCTGTGTCAATCATCACTATAATACAACGACAATAAAGCTTTCAACGAAATTGAAGTGACACCGTCTTAAGTGTCTGCGAATTAAGTATTTTAATATTTTATTTATATTAACATAACAAAATGGGTTTGATTGGTTGATTTATTAGTATTTTTTTTTCCATAGACTTTCAAGAGTTTTGTATTTTCTTTAAACAAGTTTTATGTGTTATGATTTAAAATGAAAAAAAAAACATAATCCAAATTTGAAATTACTTCCGCTATATAAAATACACATTGTATAAACTACTCCGGTTAGGTACAAAGTATATTTTTTAAATTCAACGTTGAAACGTTTTTTTTTTAATGAGTCCATTCGCTTAAGTACATGCATAGGTGATTTTTTGAACTTTAAAAAATTAGCGCAACGCTTATTTTTAAACGAGTAAAGTGATATATTGCGTTATCATTAATAATAATTAGCCAATGTAAATAATAATATATTTTTCACACATTTATTTATCTTCATCAATTTTCGATAAAACATTTTGATAGAAAAATGAAAAACCTTATCCGTTATTGTCTCATTGAAATTTCAAACTTATGGTTTAGTTTGATTCTTATAAAATAATATTGTAGATAATTTCAAAATAAAAAAATGTTCACACTGGTGTATTTTAATTTTTGGTCTTAACAATAAAAAGATAAGTAGCTATTTCTTTAGTTCCAAAAACGACATATCAAGTCGAATACGTTTTATATTTAGAAATATGGCAAAAATATCCTGGAAAAAGTTAAGAGTATCCACACTTTATATATCGATACATGGATATGTCCTGCATCTAGTATCTCTAATTTATTATCTCTAATTCACTATCTCTATTATTTCACCTCCGTGATACTCCTCCGTGGTTGATTACTTTTTAATGTTAAAACACCTAAGACATATTTTCCCCTAAACCTTTATCGAAGCTAGCAATGTAACTAACTAAATTACAGAAAAAAAAAATAATAAAAAAATCCTTCAGGCTTGTGACCTTTTTCGATTTTAATATGTCATTTACACAGTTTTTTGGTGTAAACATTTTCCCAACACAACTGTAAGTCTGACTTATTTTGGAGTTAATGAGCTCGGCAACATAGGTTTGACGACATCATACCCTTTGGTAACTGATGGAAGTGTACCAAAAAAACAAAATAATAATACCAAGGCCGTGTTGTCTTCAAAGGAAATATTTGTACAACCCTTTTGAGTTTGAATTCAAAATAAATATGAAATCTACAAAGTATACGAGGCTATAAATCTAAGAAAATTTGGCGCACGTCAAACATAAATCACCGGATTATATTTTGGAGTTGAGCACACCAAACGATTGTGAAGGCTATACTTGTTTTTTTTTTTTTTTTAAGGCTAATTTGATTGTATCGCGTTATTGCGTCGTTTTTTAATTACGTCCAAAAAGTAGTTCAGGTAAAAACAAATTTAATTTTTTTGAAAATGATTTTTTAGATTACTACTTTTGGCGTCGGTTTGCTTTACTTACAGTGTACTATTTTATCTTTTTACTTTCTGTCATTACTTTTAAGGCAGAGGCGTGATGGGATTATGGAAAAATGTACTACTAAAAAAAAAAAGAAATTATCTAAAATCTATCTTTTGTACAATCTCATATTATTTAAGTCAACGGTAATTGTTTTGTAAGAATTCTTACAAAACACACTCTACCGCCATTGTCTTATATCAATATATATATATTGACATATATAAAATATATTCCAGAGATATGCTAATTTACATGGTTGTACTTAACAGCTTTAAGATGTTGTTGGCGCCTTGAAAGTTAAACTACTATTTTTGGCGTAGATATTAAATATTCTTGGCCGTGGATTCTTCTTCGGAGAACTTCAGTTGGTTATGAAAACTGTTTGGAATTATTATTAATCGACATTTTCATAATTTACATAAAGTGTCTTTGCAATACATCAGATGTTCGGTTTCTTTTGGCCGTTAAGTCTTAACGATTGAATACAAATTATAATCCCTAACCAAACAAAGCAAAAAACGATTGCCGACTGGAGTGGTTGAATTTTTTTCCAAAAGAAAATTGAAAAAAAGTGACAAACAAAATGACTGTGATTTACACGGTACAAATTTTCATCCATTAAATTGTGACTTTTCGACAATATAAATTATACGACTCGGAGTAAAATATTTCAAGTTGTCGACCACAGCCAACTTTGGCGTCGTTCGAATAATTCTATTATTTAAATAAGTTACCGGATAAGAGTTTTATTATTCGAGTATATTTATTATTTTTTGTCAACGGAAAATAATTTATATTTATTGGTTAAAGGTTCAATAACAGCAAATACTACCTATTTATTTCAATTTAATATTTGTTTTTTTTTTCAATTAACTATGCACGACGGCAGCTGTTATTAAATTATATTTTGTACAAATTTATTGACGTATCTGCATTAAGTGTGGATACTCTTAACTGAGTTTACTCGGTTCTTCTTCTGATTCATTTTTGGCTTTCTACAGACAATTTTGAGCCGTCGTTAAAATCACAATTTATATCTGGTCTCCGTTTGAATCATGCTGGGATACGTTGACCTTCTCTGTTGTCCTATTCGACTTTTTTTCTCGATATTATTATTGTGTTCTGATCTATTAGAAAAGTTTTTTTATTTTATTATACGTGACAGGAGGCGGTGTTTGTCGGCGTATACATACATATATATTTTATTATAATGCATTTTTGTTATTATATGTTAATCTTATTGGATGGTTTGTTTGCGAGAAATTCCGCCTACTGGTTGTAAAAAAAAAAAAAAAAATAAACGATTTATACCTAAATCTTATCGTTATTTCCATAAACAACACTTTTCAAACGGAGGACTTTCAAAGTAGGTGGGTTCTCGCAGCATATAAAATATATATGCATATTATCAAGTACTTACGCAACGGCGATCGTATTGAGAGGTTATGGTTTGATGTACATTCTTCACAAAATTCTCAGCATATTAACAGAGAGATAAAGTATAAAAAACCAGACACAGTTATTCTTATTTTCAAAGAAAGGTCCCCGCAGCTGTTCGACGTAAAGGTCGAAAAGAATAACCAACATTAATGTGTATACATATATATATATATATATATATTTTTTTTTAGCGTTTTCTCAAATACTTTGCTTCAGTCAGTCTCTGTGCGTTTACCCCGCCATATATAGGTTGTCCAAATATTTGCCTTAAGAAGAACATTCGATT